ATTAGAGAATAGCCCCAGAGACTGTTAGAGAATAATCTCAGAGAATATTACAGGATAGTCCTTGACATGGTTAGAGAATAGTCTCAGACACTGTTTGAGAATACTCTTAGAGATTGTTAGAGAATAGCCCTTGAAACTGTTAGAGAATAGTCCCAAAGAATGTTAGAGAATAACCTTAGAGATTGTTAGAGGATAAATCTTGACCCTATTAGAGACTATCCCTAGAGATAGTTAGAGAACAGCCCTAGTAATAGAGAATAGCCCTTTAGATAGTAATAGACTAGCTCTATAGATGGGAATAGCCCTAGAGATAGTTAGAAAACAGCCAATAGTAATAGAGAATAGCCCTTTAGATAGTTACAGACTAGCTCTATAGATGGGGAAAAACCCTAGAGATAGTTAGAGAACAGCCCTAGTAATGGGGAATAGTCCTTTAGATAGTTATAGACTAGCTCTATAGATGGGGAAAAAAACCCTAGAGATAGTTAGAGAACAGCCCTAGTAATGGGGAATAGTCCTTTAGATAGTTATAGACTAGCTCTATAGATGGGGAAAAACCCTAGAGATAGTTAGAGAACAGCCCTAGTAATGGGGAATAGTCCTTTAGATAGTTATAGACTAGCTCTATAGATGGGAAAAAACCCTAGAGATAGTTAGAGAACAGCCCTAGTAATAGAGAATAGCCCTTTAGATAGTTATAGACTAGCTCTATAGATGGGGGGAAAAACCCTAGAGATAGTTAGAGAACAGCCCTAGTAATGGGGAATAGTCCTTTAGATAGTTATAGACTAGCTCTATAGATGTGGAATAGCCCTAGAGATAGTTAGAGAACAGCCCTAGTAATGGGGAGAATAGTCCTTTAGATAGTTATAGACTAGCTCTATAGATGTGGAATAACCCTAGAGATAGTTAGAGAACAGCCCTAGTAATAGAGAATAGCCCTTTAGATAGTTATAGACTAGCTCTATAGATGGGGAATAGCCCTAGAGATAGTTAGAGAACAGCCCTAGTAATAGAGAATAGCCCTTTAGATAGTAATAGACTAGCTTATAGATGGGGAATAGCCCTAGAGATAGTTAGAGAACAGCCCTAGTAATAGAGAATAGCCCTTTAGATAGTTTAGACTAGCTCTATAGATGTGGAATAACCCTAGAGATAGTTAGAGAACAGCCTATAGTAATAGAGAATAGCCCTTTAGATAGTTAGGGACTAGCTCTATAGATGGGGAATAGCCCTAGAGATAGTTAGAGAACAGCCCTAGTAATAGAGAATAGCCCTTTAGATAGTTAGGGACTAGATCTATAGATGGGGAATAGCCCTAGAGATAGTTAGAGAACAGCCCTAGTAATAGAGAATAGCCCTTTAGATAGCAATAGACTAGCTTTATAGATGGGGAATAGCCCTAGAGATAGTTAGAGAACAGCCCTAGTAATAGAGAATAGCCCTTTAGATAGTTAGGGACTAGATCTATAGATGGGGAATAGCCCTAGAGATAGTTAGAGAACAGCCCTAGTAATAGAGAATAGCCCTTTAGATAGTTAGGGACTAGATCTATAGATGGGGAATAGCCCTAGAGATAGTTAGAGAACAGCCCTGGCACTCTCATCTCCGGGCACACAGTGGTACATCGCATAGCAGCCAAGCAGTATTTAATTACAGCTTGAAGCTTGCCAGTGACCTTTTCCATTGCTGTCCCCTCACTCCTTCACTATTTGCAGCTCTTCTTCTCTATCACCCCCTCCTCTATACCGCTCAGCACTCGTGTTCTTTTATGGCTCTCTCACCTTGGTTCAGTGAAATGCAGCTGGGAACCTTCTCATGTCTTTCATGATCACTCTTCTTCCCTTCCCATCCCTCTCCCACATGCACTATACAATAGATTTCCATCCCCTTCTCAGTGTGACCCATGCCTTCCTCTATGTCTGCTAGATTTCCTATGATGACCACAGCTTCAGCACCCATCCCCTTACCTGCTCTGCTGCCTCTGGGTCCAGATGGGGTTCCAGCAGTGGGACAGTGAACTGGATCTTTCTAGGACTGTTAGGTTCCATGCTGTGTATGGAGGCTTAACACAGGGTCAGTGTACTCTCTGAAGGGATGTGCTGCACAGCTTCTGCTTTCTGAGGTTACAAAGATTTTTCCAGCCCCTTATCTCCTCCTGTCTCCACTCTGAAAGCAATGAGGAGGATTGGCTGAACCTAAGCAGCCGTATTCCCCCTGCTCCCCCCTCCCATCTGTACACACACTGTCATACACACACATAGCAACGTAAGCGTGGAAATATTCATAATCCGGGTGTACGCTTCCTTTATCTGCTTCATAAACACTGTGCACAAATATTTATATATTTATAATACAAAAGTAGGATCTTTAGTTTTCTTGTTCAATAAAGGATTTACCAAAGGTCACCAGTTCACTTTAAATACTTTAAATACACAATGCCTACTTATCCCGTATGGTGAGTTAAGATCTGCTTGTGACAGTCAGCAGAGTAGGGGTTAAAGCCAGGAAGAAAAATGAGCAGATCCGTAGTGGTAAGTAATCACCTATAGAAAAAGAATTAATCCTTTGACCCAGTATGTCCCAACGAGAAGGAGAATAGTTACAGTGATCCTAGTCCCTGTATTCTTCATCAACATTGTAAATAATTAGTGAATATTCACCTTAGGAAATATGAAATATGCTGTTTACAGAGTTTTACAAAAATACAGAACAGCATAATAAGATAGACAATAGGAAGCAGTGCCTCCTATAAGTGGATTACGTGCCCCTCTATCTAGACTTCATATAGCATTTATTATTTCTTCCATAGTAAAGGTGCCCACATTACATTAGATAGGACACAATGACACAAATCTGCAGGATCACTCCCATGGAGCATGAAAAATAAAAAGACTTTAGCTTCATGGTCATAAAAGAAGAAATAAGCAGTGAGATTTTTGGGCTGATTTACTATACTGCACATAGAAACATAGAAAAGTGACAGCAGAAAAAAAGAACGTGGTCTATCGAGTCTTCCCATTTCTTTTTTTTTTTTTTGCTTTTTGCTTTTTTTTTTTTAATACATATTTGTATGTGTGTGTGTGTGTGTTTGGTCACACTGTTTGCTCATTTTGCAATCATCTGAAATAAGTACCCCCAAATTGTATTCCTCTATAGTGCTGGCCAACACTGTACCCCCAGTGTTGTACTCTCTCAAGGGATTCTTTTTCCCTGTGTACATTATTTTACCATTATAAACACTGAACTGAAGTTTCCACTGCTTAGACCAATCTTCCAGCAATGCCAAATCATGTTCCATGTTATATACAAATCCAGGGATATCAACGCTATTACACACCTTTGTATCTGCAGCAAAAAGGCATACCTTGCCCAACAAAAAGACATACCTCACCAAACTAAATCACTCAATCCAACTATCCAATCATGTGCATATATAAAGTGGAATTAGCTCTTCACGTAATTGGGATAACTGAACATTCACACAATTTGTTGTATCTAGCTTCTAAGCTCTTTTGGTATATCAGCCTGCATGTGTGGTTGGTTTTACTGATGATATCTTTTTGTCTTTATCACCATAGACATATGCGTAGGAGTATGTAGTAATTTTTAATCTATGTCCAGCACTCAGGGTGCCAGGCAACCCTCGCTGTCAGTCTCTGGCTGGAAACTGAGGTTATATAAGGTGAGAGGGGGGGAGTTGGTTGGTTGATTGGCATTGGGAAGTATTCTAAAGATTTTTTTTCTGAGAAGAGGCACCTGATGCATCATCATGTGAGTACACACAGTGTGGGCACTTCCCGTTAGGGGAAGTTAGTTTTTTTTTCACCATGTGGAGTGAAGGACTTCTTCCCTTGAAGAGCTGAGAATGGGTTGTCAGCTTTACCCAAGAATATAGAGCAGAAGAACAATAGATGGCACTTGTGCCAACTTTGATTGGCACCGAGTTTCTCCTAGTGGAGCAGTTGGTAAAAAGCCTTTGACTGTGATGGAACAGCATTAAATACTGAAAATCTATATGTTGGAAACAATGTAATTAGGAAGAAATCATCAATTGTCCTCCAGGATGGTCCTTTTTTTTTTAGAAGCTAGATTTCTCTGGGAAATATTCTGTCATAAGGAGATTCTACATGTGAGGAAATGTAGGTCAAAACCATGGAGGTGTTCGGACCCTAGTGGTTGTAAAAATGGGTTTTGCCAACCCTCAAGAGTTTTGGGGACCCCAGCCTTGATTGATTCAGCATTATGTAGTGGAGTCAGGGAGACATGAGGTCTCCCTGGTGACCAAGTTTATGGATAATCCAGAGTTCAGGATCTTGGTCTTAGACAGCCCTGAACTGAGTTTTTACTGATGTCCCAGACTTAAAGTGGTTATAAACCCTTACATATATACCGTGTGAAGTGACTGGCCTTAGGGGATACACAGAGATAAAACAAATCCTTCTACATAGGTTGTACCTGTGTATCTGCTGCCCTCTCTCCTCTACAGCTGTTCCAGTTGCTGAACTCATACAGCGTGTCTACACTTCCAGAAAGCAGGTGGCAGGGCGCTAAAATTACACTCTTCAGAGCTTAGTGAGGAGAGCTGTGAGCTGATTGGAGAAAAGGGACACCCCCCCCTCCAAACAGCACACAGGAACAGAGCTAAGACTGTCAATCACAGGTTGTGTGCTGAAGCCCCCTCCCCTGTCACCTTTTTACCTCTTGGTGTCATGAAAACGTGTCAGAAGAGACTCATGCAGATAGCAAAAGAACAAGGCAGTAGAATCTTAGTGCAATGTTTTTAGACAAGTTCACACTATAGAGGGATATGCTTTGTTCCTATTTCATGTCTGAGGTTTTCAACCACAGGGTTAATGTTCAGGGGTACAAGTGAAACCCCATTACATGTGTGGCATAGTTGGCAGGATGTAGGAGCCCTCTTTGGAAGACAGTCACCCATGTTTTGATTGGCTGCTATTTTTAAGAGCTTATAACCATGGCAGGGGCGGACTGACAACTTATGGGGCCCCCGGGCAATAGGGTATCATGGGGCCCTTTTGTCCTTGCCCAAACTCAAAAAAAAAGCCTATGAAAAAGGTACCAGGGGCATCTCATGGGGCCCCCTACTGACCCCGGGCCCTCGGGCAGTGCCCAAGTTTCCAAATGGTCAGTCCGCCCCTGAACCATGGTGACAGTAACTTCTGCTCTGACATATGCCTGTTTGCAAGGGAGAAATTGGTTGCTACAGTGAAGGCTAGACTCTATCTATGTTGGCCAGTGACAGGAAACCAGATGGTTCCACTGACCAAGGGACTAATGCTGGAAATGGGCTTCTGATTTTAAAGTTAAACTAAACCCACCAAGACTTTACAGTCAAGGATGGTACCATTTTAACCTTGGTTTAGATCTGCAGTTGACATGAGGCAGCACCTGTCATCATCTATGCCACCAACCATTTGATGACTTGATAATTCGGTTGAGAGCTAACATAAACACACTGGCAACCTTGACACCAGATGCATGCCTTGAATGTAACTAATTTGGGAAACAGTTAAATCATTGGGTTTAGTGTCCTTTCATGCTACTAGGGGATAGTGGACACATTAACCCCACTATACCCTAGCTGTATTTGGCCTACGCCATACTTTCCCCATGGGTCTGTTGCCAAAATCATGGGACTTTCTTATTTGAGTTACTGCCAGGAAGGGAAAGAGCTAAGGACTTGGACCTGAGTTGGAACACTGTGGATGCAAATGTATGGCTATGGCAGTAGTAGAACTTGTCCCTCGGGTAGAGCAGCCTGCTAGAAAAAACCCTTCAGGTTCAGCCTTGGCAAATCTAGCTGACTCCAAAGAGATCTCCATGAGCCCAGAGAGAGGGTTGAGACCCTACCTGCTACACCAAAAGCCTGGAATGTTTTCCTCAAGGAGTCCTAAAGTCCTACGTCCTTCACGGACAAGGGAAATGGTACAAATTTACTAAATTCTCCAGACTGCAAAATTACCTTAACCTTCATGTGATAATGCAATACAGCTTGGAATTTTCTTATGTACAGGTAAACTCGTTTGACACTGTGGCTTGAGACAGGCAGGCTACTTACAAGTGGGTGTTTGGAAGTGTCTTCATGTTTTCAAACAACACAGAAATTCTGACCTTATGTATGATTGTATTTTTGTACTATATTGTTGAAATAATTATGCCAAGCACGTCTGGAGAGTAACAGTTTTTGCTTTGATAAATGTTCATATTGATTGTTTGAACAGTTTGAAAAGTGAAATAGTTTTATGGTTTGTTACATTTTTTTAGACATTTTGTTTATTGGAACTTACTTCAGGTTAGTAATCATGGGAACATGCTTGACTTAAGAAAGGAGGTTGTAGGCACCTTTTTTGTTGGTTGGTTGGCAATGTGAAGCAGACGAATGGAAAGACTCTTTTCTCTTTGTGTTGAGGCATCTGCTGCATGATCATGTGAGTGCACACAGTGGGGGTGCTTCTCTTCAGGGAAACAAAACTTTTCTCTCCATGTGGAGTGAGCAAATTCTCCACTTGTGGAACAAGGACTAAATTGTCAGCTATACCAAGGAATAAAGAGCAAAAGGACAATAAAAGGCATTTGTTCAATTTTGATCGGCACACAGTTTCATCAAGTGGAGCTGTCTGTAAAGAGACTTGGCATTTAATGGAACAGCATTAAACGCTGAAAATCTGTATATAAGAACATATTTATTCACTGACACATTCAATTATTTCAATTATTTCAGGAAGATTACTATTGTGTGGATTTTGGCTTCTTTTCTGTGAGATGCTGGTTTAAATAATACAGTCTTAGGGCATCTTCACACTAATTCACTGTACTTTGGCCAGAGTGTTGGTACAGCACGCTGTAGCCAAAACGCAGTGGATCAGTATGAAGCTGCCCTTAAAATAACTTATAAAGCTGTGGATGATACAAGATTCCCATGTTCCCATTTGTCATTCTGAACTAGGTGAACCTGACCATTGAGAGAGCAGTACAAAAATTCTGCAGCACTCATTCCATTTAAACAACCCATAGATTATTGTTTTTTGTTTTCATTTAACCAGCGGTTTGAATGGAAAAAAAAAAACTTGATTCAGCCATCCACCTCAAGTGGATCCTCCCTACTGAACCTTTGTATTCTGACAGTGAGGAGACTTCCCCACTGTCAGAATACACATGGCAGCTTAGGGTCAGGCTGCATTGTGCCAGATGTGTGCAGTCCCATCTCTGCAGCAAGGATGTTGCACACTTCCCAGAAGCATCGGAATTTTGTATCTGAGCCTATGGGCGATAAACCAGTCACAGCACTGGCTGGTATTGGAGACGTTATTGGCGGCAAATTGGAAGAACAAGGATTTGATAAGGCTTATGTGCTTCTGGGACAGTTTCCTGTGTTAAAGAAGGTTGCAGATGACCTCTTTAAAGAATGGTTGAAAGATTTGTGTGCAGCTAATTCCCATCAAGCAGTGTTATTATTATTATACAGTATTTATATAGCGCCAAAAAGTTTGCTCAGCGCTGTACATTATAGTGGGGGACAGTACATAAGACAATAGAGTAACAATACAATACACGAGGGATTCGAGGGCCCTGCTCCTTGGAGCTTACAATCTAGGAGGTAGGGGATAGTGGTACAGGAGGAAATGGCTGTGGGGGATGGGAGTGGTAGGAGGAGTGGAGGAGATCGGCTGTTAGGTGAGGGTGGGTAGGCTTCCCTGAAGAGATGGGTTTTCAGGGTGCGCCTAAAGGTGAGGAGCGTAGATGACAGTCTGATGGATTGGGGTAGTGAGTTCCAGAGGTAGGGGGAAGACCAGGAGAAATCCTGGAGTGGGGCATGGAAGGAGTAGACCAGGGAACTGGAGAGTAGGAGGTCTTGTGAGGAGTGAAGAGTATGTGTTGGGTGGTATTTGGATATCAGGTCGGTGAGGTAGTTTGGGGCAGTATTATGAATAGCTTTGTACATCAATGTTAGTAGTTTGAATTTTTATGCGTTGGGCAATCGGAAGCCAGTGGAGGGAATGACAGAGTGGGGGGGGGGTGGCAGATACGGAGCGGTTGGTAAGGTGGATGAGTCTGGCCACTGAGGTCAGGATAGACTGAAGCGGGGAGAGTTTGTGATGAGGTAAGCCGGGTGAGGAGGGAGTTGCAGTATTCGAGTCGTGAGATAATAAGGGAGTGAACGAGTTGTTTAGTAGTGTCTGGGGTTATGATGACGAACGTATTTTGGAGATGTTGCTGCAGAGGTGGAGCCTGCATGAATTTGCCAGCGATTGGACATGGGGCTGGAAGGATAGGTTGGAGTCTAGAGTGACACCTAGAACGTTGGCTTGCGGGGTGGGACTGATGGTGGCATTATTGGTCGTGATGGAGAGGTTGGGGGGGCACGAGCTGGGGGAAAACTAGGAGCTCGGTTTCGGAAAGGTTTAATTTGAGGAAGTGGAGTGACATCCAGTCTGATATGTCATTCAGTAGGCAGGTGATTCAGTCGGAGACTGAAGGGGTGAGGCGAGGGGTAGAGAGATAGATTTGCGTGTCATCGGCATAGAGGTGGTAGTTGAAGCCGTGGGAGTGTATCAGTTGGCCAAGGGAGGAGGTGTAGATGGAGAAGAGAAGGGGCCCGAGGACCGAGCCATGGGGGACCCCAACAGAGAGGGGGAGAGAGGGGGAGGTGGCAGGGTTATAGGTAACACTGAAGGAGTGCTGGGATAGATAGGAGGAGAGCCAGGAGAGAGCGGAGTCTCTGAGTTAAGTTCATCTTCTCTGAAAGAATAGTGTTGCTCTGAAGTTCCCTCATCAACTATAAAGTTTCATATTTATTGACCTTCAGTTTTACATTTTATCAGCTTGTTTACTAAATTGTTTGCTAAGGAATAAAGATTTAAGGTAAAGTTATCTCTGTGCAGCTTTTATACCATATTATTAGCTTTTCCAAATATATTGTGCATCAGCCATAGAAGAACAGCAAGGTGCACGTACATAAATGGCTAGCACTTCCACCTGGCAGTATTCAGGTCACTGGTTCAAATCCCAACCACGGCACCACCTGCCTGGAGTTTGCATGTTCTCCTTGTGCCTGTGTGGGTTTCCTCTGGGTAGTCTAGTTTCCTCACACACTCCAAAGACATGCTGGTAGGTGAATTGGCTCCTGTCTAAATTGGCCCTAGTATGTGTATGTATGAATGTGAGTTAGGGACCTTAGATTGTATGCCCCTTGAGGATTAGGGACTAATGTGAATGTACAATATATATGTAAAGCACTGTGTAAATTGATGGTGCTATATAAGTACCTGTAATAAACAATAATAATAAAAAAAGCTTCTGTTAAAACAGAAATACAGTTTGAATTAAAATGCAGGATTTTTTGTTTGACACAGTTCCCCAAACATGGCTAATGTGTAAGGTAAAGTCTATAGTCTTGGAAAAATCTGTATGTAAATGGTAGAAAACTGGCTAAAAGATCGTATTTAAAGAGTAGTGGTTAATGATTCATACTCTGAATGGTCTAGGGTTGTCAGTGATGTACCCCAAGGTTCAATGCTGGGACCCTTACTTTTTAATATATTTATAAACAATATAGGGTCTGGGATTAAAAATCCCATTTCAGTCTTTGCAGATGACACCAAGCTGTGCAGTGGAATAACGTCCTTACAGGATGTCTCCAATTTACAAGCCGACTTCAATGCAATGTATAATTGGGCAACTATGTGGCAAATGAGGTTTAATGTTGATAAATGTAAGGTTCTGCACTTGGGGGCTAAAAATATGAATGAATTAAACATACTAGGGGAGGTACCACTGGGGGAATCAATGGTGAAGAAGGATCTGGGAGTTCTGGTAGATCACAAGCTTAATAATGGCATGCAATGCCAAGCTGCGGTTTCTAAAGCAAGCAAAATCCTCTCTTGTATTAAAAGAAGTAGAGACTCCAGAGAGAGGGACATCATTTTACCCCGGTACATGTCATTAGTAACACCTCATCTGGAATATGCAGTTCAGTTTTGGACACCAATTCACAAAAAGAACATTGAAGAAAGTACAGATAAGGGCAACCAAACTGATAAGAGGCATGAGGAGCTCAGCTATCAGGAAAGATTAGAGGAACTGAAAGTATTCTCTCTTGAGAAGAATCAATTAAGGGGGTATATGATCAACATGTATAAATACATCAGTGGTTCATATAGTGGTTCATAAGTGTAGAGCTATTCACTTTGAGGTCATCACAAAGGACAAGGGGGCACTCTTTATGTTTGGAGGAAAAGAAGTTTAATCTCCAAACATGGAAAGGTTTCTTCACAGTGAGAGCTGTGAAAATGTGGAATAGACTCCCTCAAGAGTTGGTTCTGGCCAGCTCAGTGGATTGCTTTAAAAAAGGCCTTGATTCTTTCTTAGATACATAGAATCAGGGGCGGACTGACAACTCATGGGGCCCCTGGGCAATAGGGGATCATGGGGCCCCTGTGTCCTTGCCCAAACTCAAAAGCCCATGAAAAAGGTACCAGGGGCATATTATGGGGGGCCCCCTACTGACCCTGGGCCCTTGGGCAGTGCCCGAGTTTCCAAATGGTCAGTCCGCCGCTGCACAGAATATAAATAGATACTAACATTTATAGGTAACGTTGATTCAGGGAATATCCGCTTGCCTCTCGGGGGATCAGGATGGAAAGTTTTCCCTGCAGGAGTGAATTGGATCATGCTTTGCTGTTTTTTTTTTGCCTTCCTCTGGCTCAATTGTGGGTATAGGAATAAAACCTTTTTTTTTTTTTTGATTGAACTAGATGGACTTTTGTCTTTTTTCAGCCAGACTAACTATGTAACATCAGCGCTGCCTCAGAAGAAAATGTCAAACAGGGCCGTTGTACAGAAGATGATTGGTAGATCGACATCTGTACAACCATCCTGCCCACACATGGATCACACTACAGTATGTGGATTTTTTTTGGAAATGTGTCCAGTTTTTTTAATGGTTAGTGGGGTCAAATCAATGTCCGTTTTCAACCGTAGTGATGGGAAAATTAAAAGGAGCAGGTTGGAACTTTTTTTCTTGAACAAACAGAATTCTAACTGTAAATGTGGTTTTTGTTTGGGAAAAATCATACTTGGGATGGCCATACCTTAGTCATATTTTTTTTGTTCAACAAGGGGGTTGAACTTGAACAAAAATAAATGACCCGTTTCTCCCATCCACATTGAGTTATTATATTCTGACAGTGGAAAACCTTCCATGCTATTAGAATACACAGATTAGTGCTTCAGGCTATAGCCAGTGGCACTAATCATTCAGGAAACACTCAATAGGCTGGTTGTACAGGTAGATTGACTTCTGTTTATCCGCTTCCTACCTGACCACTGCACATAAAAGGTGGGAGCTTCACCGTTCTGAGTGGACGTTCCTGAACGCCCCTCTGAATGTGGGCACGCGTGGCCTCGTGGCCGCGAAGCTGCGTGCTCTCAGGATGCCTGTGTCCCCTGGACACAGTGCAACGCTGCACAGAAGAAGGGCTCTCTAACTGGCCCTTCTGATCACATGATGGCTGTGTCCAATCACAGCCATCATGAAATGTGAACAAAGCCGCCAGTCTGTTGATCAGCTGTGCCTCTCCTCACACAGAGCCCGCTAGTGAGGAGAAGCAGAGCCAATCTGTGTTAAACAGTGAGTTACACACACACTGATCACCCCATAGTGTCCCCCACACAGTTGCCAGTGATCAACTTCTGTCATACAGTACCAGTGGTCATCCACATCTTTACCAGTGATCCACATCCGTCACAGTGTAAAAACCACATCTGTAGCAGTGATCCACATCTGTCACGATGTGCCAGTGTAAAATCCACATCTGTCCCAGTGATCCACATCTGTCACAGTGCACCAGTGTAAAATTTACATCTGTGCCAGCTATCCACATCTGTCACAGCGCACCAGTGTAAAATCTACATTTGTACCAGTGATCCACATCTGTCACAACGCACCAGTGTAAAAAATCCACATCTGTACTAGTGTAAAATCCACATCTGTACTAGTGATCCACATCTGTCACGGTGTACCAGTGTCAAATTCTCATCTGTACCAGTGATCCACATCTGTCAGTGTACCAGTGGTCATTCACTACTGTACCAGTGATCACCATTTGCCACGGCCTACCAGTGTCAAATCCACATCTGTCATAGTGTACCAGTGATCAATATCTGTCACATAGTACCAGTGTCAAATCCACATCTGTACCAGTGATATCTACCAATGGTCATCCACATCTGTACTAGTGATCAACATTTGTCACACAGTACCAGTGTAAAATCCACACATGTACCAGTGATCACATCTGTCACAGTGTATCACTGATCATCTACTTCTGTATAGTGATAAACATCTGTCACAGCATACCAGTGTCAAATCCACATCTGTCAGTGTACCAGTGTTCAATATCTGTCACACAGTACTAGTGTAAAATCCACACCTGTAGCAGTGATCAATATCTGTCACAGTGTACCAGAGTAAAATCCACACCTGTAGCAGTGATCAATATCTGTCACAGCATACCAGTGTCAAATCCACATCTGT